GGGGTAATGCCATATAGGAGTCTCCCTCACAAATACCCAGGGGTTAAATTGGCCCTGCACATAGGACGATGCTCTGACGTCATCACCCTCACACATTTGTCATATGTTTACACAAAACGATATATATGTTAAGACTTTTCTCGTTCTTAATATAGACTATATTTAGGGTCGATATGTGTTGACTTTACTTTAAAATAGCAGATCTCTGTGACCGGATATAGTTTGGCTTAGTGAACATGTGTCTCTTCCTTGGAGGAGCAACATCGCCCGGACTCCGCAGCTCCTCCGCGGCTCCTCCGTGCAGAGAGCCTGCACTGCAGCGGTGTGTGTCAGCGACGTGCAGTCAGGGGAGGCACGGATTGGCCATCAGGAGAATCGGGACTTAAACGCCGCGGTTTTCTGGCTAGCACTTAGCATGTGGGACTGGACAGCTTTGATCCCCATCGACAGACTCTCTCCCCTCCCCCCCAACAGAGCGGAGTGGCGCACTATGCATGGGGCCGCCTTGAGGGGGTTTCCCGACATGTCGTTTCAGTAAATTAAAGGGTGTTTCATTCCTTAATACCTTGGAAAATGCCGTTTAATACTTTTTAATAGCCTTAATTTTCGCTAAATTGATTTATCAACTTTTAATACTTTTTAAGACCCCGCAGACACCCTGATATATATATTTTTTTCAACTGAAGACAATGTCAGTGATTTGTTGACGTCTAAAAGGCTTAGCCAGGGGGATGGACTTTGAGATTTATCACATACTTTTTGTTTGCATAAACTGACTACAGTACAAACACAGTCAAAGCACAAAGCTATTTATTATTAAGTCTACAGTTAACAGTCCTACAATCAGTTAACATGACAGTGGGGAAAACAAAATAATAGGTGCTGTGACTGTGGAAGATGGAGGGTCACCACAAGCAGCTAATGCTAGGCTAACTGTAAACTGAAGCTAAAAGATGTTGCTTAGTTGAAGTTGGTGCCAGGACTGAGATAATCGGAAATGGTAAGCAGGCTTCAGAAGCATTAGAGATCCTGCTTTAAAATATATCTCTTAAGAAAGCTGAGAATTCTTAAAGGGAAAGTAGATGGCATAGCACAGAAAAGTCTCTCTCTGTAGGCCCTAGATAAAGTATTTATAGCTTGTATTACTCATAGACTTACCCTACTTATAGAGTAGCAAAGCAACAAAGTATAACCACTAATAGTAGTAATGTAGTGAAGTAGAAGCATAAAGCCTGTTTTACTTACAAGAACAAGTATCTATGTGTTTGAATGTATGCAATGTAGTTAAATGCATCCAATGCAGCTTTTACATGTTCAGTCATGTTGTACTGAGTGCATGTGGTTTCTTACTGAGTTATTATTCTGCTACTATATTTGTGTACATTAGGTAAGTAGGTTCAATAGAATGCAGCCCTGATAAAGCATCACCACAAAGTGCATCTTGAAATGTACCACAGATTTGCGTTGCCACACCAACGACTGAAGTCAATGTGTCAGATAATCATTTGAAATAAGTTATATATATACACAGTATATTGCAGGGCTGTTATATTGCGCAGCACTATCTTTTATTTATTCAGTTCACATAATAGTAAAAGCTGACCTTTACTCTTTAATACCACTCTTGGTTCAATGCACCTTGTTCATAATGAAACAAGACTTGTAACCAAGGCCATGATTGACAGGATGTTCACTTTTTAAATTATTCAAAAAGGCGACAAGCAACAGCGCTCAACTCGGCATCGCTCAGCAACACTTTCAGTTTACATCTGAGAGGCAAATCTTTCAGTAAATCTCCATTTAAACGTAACCGTTTCTATGCATGTTGCTAAAGATGCCACTGCTTGTATAAGTACTTTTTTGTCAAAATACCTTTATATGTTATTATAAGTTGCATTTTATTGTAGGAACTGGTGTACGAAGGCACACAATATTCTGAGAAGACGTCAAAGGAAACAGCTGTGAAAGGACAGGCAACCTTAAGAAATACATGGCAGGTGATTGGATGAATGATCTGTCAATCGAACTACTGGAAAAAGCCAGTCTGACACGTGAATTGTTACACAACCCTGATTGCTCAATAAAATTGTAGTTTGGAAACAAAGGCATTACTTGATGCCTTAAACGATTGACTTTTGAGTGATCTCCAGCAAGGAAAAGTCTAGATGGCCACTGCTTGTGTGCGTGCGTGCGTGCGTGCGTGCATGTGTGTGTGTGTGTCGGACCTGATGTGGCACTAGACCCAGAGAGGTGGGAGGTTCATTCATCCTGTCATCACTGCTGCTGGCTATTGCATAGCCTCTGAGGATAGAGAAAAAGAGGGAGAACATTATATACTTATATCAACTTGTTCAAAACATAAAATAATCCTAAACATTACATATCATATTGTATGAAAGGTATTGGCCTAGCATTTAAACTAATGCATACGGTTTTATTTATAATCCATGGGTGTAGTATATCTACATTATAAACAAACAAAAAAGATGTGAATTTGACCAATATTGAGATCCAAGAAAGCCCAAAAACAGTTTAACATGATTTGATCTGAGAGCAACTGATTGCCAGTAAATCTAGCCAGCCTTGAAAGATGTGACTTAAGGATAACAACACAATGGCCTCAGAATGTTTTTGCAAAGTGGCCATCGTATTGATACAAAATGAATCCTTAAGTGACCATTTCTAAAGCCCATGGTTGCTCTTATAAGGCTGCCGTAATGGCTTCAAAAGGGAGAAAGAGATGGGGGGAAAAGAAAGAAAGGAATGAAAGCTATGAAATAAAAACAAGGACACAGAGGGCAGTTTCAGGAGGAGATCTTCATGAGGCAGGGGTGTCCAAACTTTTTTCACTGAGGGCCACATACAGAAAAACATATAGGGCTGGGCCCTCATAGGTTAAATTATAATTCAGCTAAATCAATCAAATGTAGGTCAATTATTATCATATTTCTACTTGAATATAATTTAAGAAACATCACAGCTCTCCATAGGGTTTCAGTTATCCTGTTGCAGCTCATCCCTTAAAACAGAAGCTTCAGATTGCTTATAATAAGGGGAAATATGAAGGGTCTATTTAAAGCTTGTTATGGAAATAAAACTAAGATTTGTTAGAACATGTTGTCAGCTCTTGACTGAATGTCTTTGAGTAGTGGGCTTATTAACATGAAAACTACTGTGTAATATAGGCTCACATATATATTTAAGAAGTATAATATAAGACAAGCAAAGGTTTCAGGTGGGGGCCATATACCGTTATACTTTAAGAATTTGCTGAGCCAATTAGAAATGGACAACGGGGCGCATTTGGCCCCCGGGCCGTAGTTTGGACACCCCTGATGTAAAGGAAGGGGTTACACAACCATACAGGTACAGTGTGTACATACATTTTCTCCTTCGCTTCATTGCTTTGTAAGCTTTGTATGCAGCATAGGCAGCGTAGCTCTGCAACGGCTTATAACATCTCAAAACACTGAGAGAAAATAGCTGTCTTATCAGCCCCAGCAAGCGTACGACTTCCACCGACACGTGCACACACAATTCAATTTTTCACAATGACACATTCTGTGCACATTTAATAAGCATGAAAACATCCCCATCAGTGTTTGAAAAAATAAGCACTTTTACGAGTAGGGAAAATCGAGCTATTACAGATTGCCAAGTGAACTTGAGAGCAGACTGAATCATAGTGTTCAAGCTTTTGAAGCATGAAAGTGAAAGATGGATTATAAATTGCAACAAAGCTTCTACAGTGTACACGAGTTGTTGGCCTCGAGTACATTTAGGGAGCTGTGCTACAACTGCATTAACTAACACCTCAGCTGCAGGGCGGCACCATCAAAAAGCAAAGTAAAGCTTGCTGAACGTTTTAGAAGCACAACCTCAAAGGCAAAAGGAGGAAGTCCACCAATCGGAAGGGGAGCGGTTTTATCCTTGGGCAAAATACTGAACCCCATATTTTCTCCCAGTGACACATCCATTGGTGCTTTAGTGCGTTTAATAGTTATTCGCTGAGGAGCAGGTGGCAACTTGTATGGTAGCCTCTGCCACCAGTGTCTGCATTGGCTTGTGCTGAAAAGTGTTTTGAGTTCTTGCTTAGAGTAGGAAGCCCTTTATAAATTCAGTCTTTTTTGCTTTTAACCTCCTACTTGTGACTCACTAAAGAAAGTGACTGTCAGAGTTTGTGTTAGCAAGGATATTTTTAAAGAGTTTTATTCAGAAATAAATCAAAACTAGATACAAAATCTTTTGGAACCAAGTTCTATTTACTGAGGAGTTGCAATAGGAAAGGCAGTGGCTCGCCATATACAATTGGCCCTGTTTTAAATGTACATTAAATCTAACATTGGATTGCCGCAGAGATAGTAGACAGGAAACCATCAATAAAAGTGAATAATTTACATTTTCAATAAAGCAAACAGGGATGATCAAGTATGTTTCTGTTTATTCTAAGACTTTGAATGTAGTTCTCTGTAAAGCGTTTAAGCTATTGAACATATATTTTCTACACTTGTTTTAAGCAGTGTTTGATGTCTCTTTCTTACCTTACGTCTTTATTTCTTGTTGAATCAAAGCAAGCTTCAGGTCATATTTTACAACTCGAGACTCCATACTATGGCTGTACTACTACTATCACTACTAATACTAATAAGTGTGCTGTGCTTACCCTTCAGTGTGTTGCAGTATGGACACCATCATCTCCACAGCGAGGGCTCCAGCTATCATGGCCAGGCCTGGTCTGCTGACCGTGCACTGCTGATCCAGAGTCCGATCCCTGGTTGACTGTTTACAAAAGAACAAGTAGTAGAAGTAAACGACAGTCAATAAACAGTGAGAAGAGCAGTCATGACACCACGTTCCTTCCACTTATCCTGAAAGAGCTTGAAAATAAGGAATGGAGGAAAATAGTTTGGGCAATTAGCTTATCACAAATAAAGTGTTTTGGAACGCAGGAAGTCATTGAAATGTATGTCTAACAGATATAGATGATGCTGTTATCCAAAGTGGCTGAGGTTGAGTGAGCAACTATTTCAAAATGACTGGTATTGGAGTCCTTTCAGTGAAGTATCCTTTTAAATATGCATGCTATTCACATAAATGGGTGCCATTTCTGAACTAAATTTCATCACACCTCATAAACTAAATGTCTGGATCTTACTGTGGAGTGTGGACCACTTTAGGCTAACTAAGATCCAAAGAGCAACCACGCGAGCATGGCTAAAAACACTAAGACAGAAACGCATGTTAGCTTGTTTCCTTCACAGCATGTCTCACTTTGTAATAGGAACTGATCAAAGACACAGCAGTGATAGACAACCTCCATTGTTGTACCATTATACTTCAATCCACAGACAAAACAACACAATAGCCATTTGTATCCTTGGGACATTATCCATAAGTTCCTATTCATTCAGCATACTCAGCTTTAGCGAGAGCAGGCTGTGACTCTGATTAAAATGTTAATATTACTATGACCTGTGACAGCGGGCTGCGGCCATCGGCATTTATATGGGAGTCAGAGCTGAATAGCACAGCTTCCAACCAATTGCTCTGTCCTTAAATAGCTGATGAATTGCTTTCATGCTCTCAAATCAAAAGGCCATGAAGGGGAAAAAGACCACAGAAAGAAACAAAGAGTGCCAAAAGGTACAAAAAAAATTGTACACAGGGTGGCAAGAAAAAAGGAAAGGCTGTGTCAGGCACCTTCCTGCAATTTCACATAGCACTTTAAAATTGTACCGTTTTTCAGCTTATGACAATGAATATCAGAACAATTTGAACTGTATTCACACTAAAAGAAATACCATAGACCTTGCAATTTAAAGCTGGATAATTATTTAGATTATAGTTAGTATAAAAACATAGTTTGTTGATCAGTTTGGGGCAACAGATCAAGCTTTAAACTCATCAACGTCACATTCTAGATGTAATATGTTAATCCTGTGTTAGCAGAGCACAACATTTGCATTACTTTAATTTGTGCTTCTGGGCGGTGGACAAATGTAAGTACTCAATATTCAGCCTCCTTTGAGCTCTGCTTTGAATCTTCTCCAACTACTGAAACAAATATCTGACTCTTTAGCTGCTAAAGGCTCCACTATGTTTACCAGCTAGTTGCTAACTGCATCAGTAAAGCATTGGGTGCTGGTGAGGTAACATTCAAATGGTTTATCAGAACCTTTTGCTGAAAACTGCCAAGAGTGTTGATTGGAGAAAACATGTCAAAAAATTCTCCCTTTTTTGTGTTAGATGTTTTGGCTGTGCGTTTGTTCGTGACGTGAGTTGAGCGCATGCTTGGTATCAATGTGTTTTCCTCACATCTCCTGGTGCCACCACATCGTTGCAGAAGTAGCAGCCCAGCTTGTGCCCTGGGATGTTGGAGAACAGAGAGGATCCTGGGACAGTAGGTGCAGCGCCGGCGGGTGTGGAGGATGAAGACGAGGCAGAAGAACAGGAAGTGGAGGAGTCGGCCCCTGCAGAAACACTTTGACTGACGGGGGGTTTCTTCAGGCCGTGGCGCATCACGACAAATGTGTCAAAGCCTAGAGCGGCGTTCATCACCAGCTGAAAGGGGGAAACACAACAATCACACCAAATCACGATGACAAAAGATCTTTACAAACTGTGGCTGAGAACGATCCTGAATAGCTTTGGCTTTATTAGGAATACTTACTATTTCTCCCAAACTCTCACACTACACATTTCAGCCAAATTAAATGAACTAAATGTGTCGTTTCATACAATTTAAAATGGTTGCGATGTGTTCAATTGTTTCCGAAAGAAATTACACAAAACATGAATAGGCTCTTTACAATGTTGAAAGCATCTAGACTTTTGGAGAAGCAACGAAAGTAAATGATGAGGCCAATTTGCGGAGAAGTCTGAGACAGCCCCGCAGCACAAATGGCCAAATAACCTCTCAGCGGGGCCGGCCACAGAGAAAACCTAATCAGCGGTCCAAAGAACACTTAACTGCATTTAGCAATATAGCAGCATCAGTGATAGCACTAGGGGCTTTACAAATGAATGGCAACAAGTTCCATTATTTCACGTTGCCTGGCAACTAATATCATTTCAATTGATAAACAGGTATCAAGCTATTTCAATTTCCTGGAAGTAAAGTGAAATTCAACTTCAAGTAAGGAAAACAAGAACAATGTTTACTAAGTCATACACGGTCCCTGTTACAGTGCTGCATTGATCCTTAGAGCAAAGTGTTAAAAGACTCAGTCCTGATCCATTTAATTAAAATAAGCACCACCATCAAACTAATGTGCATTTTTGAAATCAAAGTACAATAACAGACACAATTGATGGGGATCAACTAAATCTTTTTCTAACACTAAATGCTGTGTTTTTGTCTAGACAATTAGAAACAATTCACTTAACAGGAAACAACACATTTGACATCCTGCTTCTGGCATGATTAGTGTAAATTGAATATTCTTAAGGTGATAGATGAGTCATCGTTGTTCCCCATCATTGTCAGTTGCAAATGTTTGTCTATTTGTCATTTGGTGGTGGACAGTACATTATTAGAGATAATGAGGCTCCAATACAAAAGCACTGACAGGCAAGATGGAAAAACATTTGTGTGGGCTAAGTGCATTTTGTTTGGACAAGATATTATCTGTCCCCTGAGAATATGATCATGAGAGTTTTTCCCTCTCCAAAATACTTTTAAACGTTATTTCGCTCCTCCCCAAGCTGGTGAATGTGTGTGCGGCTGTTCTGTTGTTCTTACCTTCCTCTTGCTTGCGCCAATCACTGTGGGCAGCCAGCGGCTCTCCCTCGTATCCATTAGTAAGAAGATCACGTCGTGTTCTGAAATGAGCTTCTCCAGGTGCTCGACATCCTTCTGGGCCTGGGAAAGAGTGGCCTCAGAGAAATTCACCGGGTGACCGGGCATAGGGATGCTCATGTTGAATCCCTCTGCATTCTGAGGAAGTAGACAGAGACAAAGAGGAACAACAAGGAGACACGGAATTAGAAACGGGTCTCATCACTTAGAAGATGAATGCTCCATGAGTTGTGCAAATGTAGTCCTTTTTGTATTCAACTATTTTTTTCCATGGAAGATAATGTGTTCTTTTTGGTTTTATATTTGCTGTACATTCTCAACCATTAAAAATGCCACATCTGAAGTATTTGAATCATACATACAGTACATTTATAAAATCACTGAAGCATTTACATTCCACAGTGTTGCATCTAGAATTCAAAATTGTTAAGGTTTTGAAAACACTCTTACTTACTTATTGACCGTGATAACAAAAAAAACCTACATTGTGTCAAAAATGTACTTCAACATTTGATGTCCTATAGGGTCTTTTTATGGAAAGAAAATGGATCAGCTGCTGGTCTTTTGATGTGCCTCTGCTGAGTGAGATGCTAGTCTAGACAGATACGTGATGGCGGAGCAGATGCAGTCACTGAACTGTCCCTCTGGGGAATATTTCTTCACCTCATGGCCACAGCACACCTGAGTCCACATACATTTACTCTCCTGTATAAGTCGATGGGAAAGTAGAAAAGGAAACCTTGAATCTCCACTTCAAGCTCCACAAGAAATCTGAAATTACTTGTATTGTCAATTGTCAAACCTCAATATATATATAACTATCTCCAGGGATTGCAGAAATGACATCAAAGCAAACTAAATGTCAAGAGTAAATGAACAGTGAAGAGAGGGAGAGAAAAGGGCAAAGACGAGGTGTGAGATCTTAACAAGAAGGAATGCCACTTTTACCGAATCAGAGGAATTTACACACTGCCTTCGCTGTAAATGTGTCAAGAGTGGGAGTGTTAACTCGGGCTGAAATTTACATTGCACTCTGACGCAAGTGTTGCTAAGCACTGCGGAGGTAGTTTGTTGTAGAGGAGTGATGTTAATCATATTCATAGTTCCACTACAAACACTTCAAGTCAAAGAAATAAAACAAGAAATCATTCCCATTGTGGAAAAATATCTCCCTCCAAGGAGAACAAACATAATCCAACAATGCCACTGTTGATACTTCAACCAGCTCTGACCTTACTGGTGATAACATGTAAAAAGAGGGGAAAAGGGGTTGGTGCCAACACGACAAAATATCCTTTAAATGTCAGGTATCAGTATTTGTCCGCAGACAAAATATTAAATCTGCTTACGACCTTTTCAACATTGTGACCTTGTGTGAACCGACTCCTCAGTTCAATCAGTGCATTTCTGTGCTCTCTGCTATCAGAGTTTATATGTGTATCTTTCTTTCACACCTGGTGCCACTGTGTTTGTAACAAAACAAGGCAGGAAGAGAGAAAAGCACACACACACACACACACACACACACACACACACACACACACACACACACACACACACACACACACACACACAGCTTGTATTGCCTGTGGACAAACGAACTGTCGAGACAAAGATCATGAAAGCGGAGCCATCAATCAAGTGTTAAACCTTCTGTTCTTCACTTCATGTCATTCCCAGAAGAAAAGGAGAGGAATAAATTACAAGTGCAGCAAAGTAACAAGGATATAGATTTGATGACATGCCAATTATTTGTGCGTGTGTGTAAATGGGCCGTAAGGAAGACATAAGACATTATTCTTGTTGGTGACTATTATCCATACTTAAAGTACAGGTAAGACATATGTTAATATGATTTTTTAATGTATGTTTTGAGGGACATTTTGACAATAAAATTAATTCGCTAATTCTTTGTCTCTATAATAAACGTGTTACTGTTATTACATTCGGATTCAATGCTGCTAAATCCAACATTTCCTCATAATAAACTTTACTACAACACCAGCAGACATGGCTGTGGACTGGATTGGGTTCATCTCTGCTGCTCTGGTGACGACAGGAGGACTCATATACTCACGTATAGTATCATGTTCAGAAAAAACCTATTACAGAGATTTCACAGTCTGCAGGGTGTACAACTTTTATATGAGGCTTTAGTCTTTCTACGGTCAAGGGAAATCCGATAATAGTTTACCGGTCAGACAGTGAGTGAGTCTCTAAGTGCTTTCACATAAAGACTAATCAGGTGTTTTCTAACTGCCGTCTGCTTGACTGGCACAAGGTGCTTCAGAGTTAAAACTTTCAGTTCCTCAGACTGAGATCTACATTGCATACCAAATGTTTGAGTTTGTAACCCTTCAAAGTGATGCTTCAAAACATTATAAAAAACTAAAACTGCTGACTGGCAGGAACACCTCCTGGTATCACAACAGTATGGGAAAGAGAACTTAGATCATTTACATTAGCGTATTAGCAGTAACAATACACTCCTTTAAATATACTCAATGACCGGTACCATTTCTGGATGAAAAAATATACTTCAGTAGAAGTATAGAAGTATTTGGCAAAGTGTATTTAAATTACCAGAGTATCAACATGTATAATAACTGCTACACAAGAAGCTGTTACAACTGAGCAAATGGTTTACTGAATCACAGAATTACATTATTACAAAAATTACAAAATTCAAGCGAATCAACCTCTTATGAACTGCCTACATCTTCTGATAAACATGAATGCATCATCACACAAATGTCCCCATGGATCACATCATAAATATGTATCTGTCATTGTTTTTACAAGTAGCTTAATAAGCGATCATTTTGCACTAAAACTGTTTCGAGTGTTTGTCATTTAGTAATGTAGCAAAACATCTCCCCCAGAGAACCCACTCATTAATTAACAAATGAATGAGACTGCAGCATTAATATACAAGGAGCACATCACAGCCATGACTAATCAAAAAGGAATATGATTATATGGGAATTGGATTATAAGCCCAACCAACATTTTGATTGTTATAATGGCAATGCTGATATGTGTATAAAAGGAGCTGTTGAAACAAATTAAAAAAATAGAAACATAGCACTTGTCAAATGTAGGTATTAAGCCAACAAAGACAGATTGGTAGGATTTTGGATGATTGACCCCCACATGATGTGAGATCATATTCCACAGCCTGGCCATTATTATTTGACTTCAAGTACTCACCACACCAGGAAAGATCTTTGTGAGGCGGTCCACAGCTGCCAGGGCTTTGGACTTCCCTCCTCCGAGACAGTCCTCAAACTCATAGAGCGGCTGCCGGACTGGATTGGAGTATGAAATATTCGCGTTGTCTACAAACGTGATGTGTCTCACTCCCCATCCCTGGAGAAAAAACATTCATATTTTAATCACATCATTTTGAACCTCTATTTATTGACGCTTTGTTAGCAGCTTCAGTGACAATGAGCGGGAGGTTATGTTCTCAGTGTGCATTTAGAAATGAATGCTTCCATTCATTTTGGAATAATGAATACATCAGTGTGCAGGTAGCACAGACTTAAATTGTTCTAGCTTTCTGATTAAAATCACTCTCTATTGTTACAAGGTCTAGCCACCATATCAATTAAGTTACACCAGGGTATTCATCATGTTCACATTGAGTGACAGAGGGTAATAATAAGTGCCCTCAGAACAGAAGAGTGAAAGCACAAAAAGAAAAATGTTGCTTATTTTTCCGGTGCAGCCTTGAAAGCAATACATTATAGTTGTCTTTGTATTTTTGATAGTGGAGTCTATTAAAGTGACTTGGACTTGGTCGCACATCATCTGAACATTTTGTTTTTTTAGTTAGGAATGTTTTGATCTTTAAAGAGATTTTGTTTTATTCCAACAAGATTGTGAAAATTGTGTTCACTTTTACAGACTCTAACTCTGAAAGACTTTTTTATTTCTCCCAGTCATCCAATACAATCCTATTTATTTGGTTCAGGTCGAGCTAGCTCACTGAAAATAGACTCTGGATGAGTTTTGTGGAGGGTAGAATATTCAAGCGACAAAACATTTCTGTAAAACTCCAATCTGCAGGTATAACCACAGACATTCATTTGCACCATTGCATTGATTCTGATGAGTATGTCACATAGAAAGCATAGCAAACACAGCTCTAGAAACACACTGTCAAATTCCTGCATGCTTGAATCCAAAAATCTATATATCTGAGTTTTATCCTCCCGCTCTTACCATGAGAGCCCTGGCTACATTGCAGCCCAGAGTCCCGGCCCCCAGCAGGAGACACTTTGTGGAGACCACCTTGTCCAGGTCCAGGGTAGGAACCAGCCTCCATCTCATCAGCTTCAGGTTCAGGTCCACTGAGGACTCTGCAAGCCTGGATAGAGCCAAGGAAGACATTTGTTCACAAAGTAATGAGTGTCCATTTTGTTGTACCTTTCACACATTTCTTTTTTGTAGTTATTACCTTTTAGGGTCCATGCATTCGCTGAGGTTGACCATCCTTGGACCCATGGCCCCCTTTGGGTTCTTCTCCCAACCTACGCTCTTGGGACACGCTGTGAAAACCGAACATTGATCAAGTTAATTAGGCATAACATTACCCATTACACAGTGAGAGTTGTGGAGACAGTTTTAAACAAAAGAAAAACGATAATCGCCCACATTACAAAATATCTAAAATGTTTGTTTTCTTTTTCAAGTTTTGATTTGTGCAGCCCTGACATTTATGCCTGTGTTATCTGAAAACACTTAAAGAAAATGTCACGGCTGTGTGTCTTGTTATTCTGTCATCTTTGAAGATTATTTTTCAAGAAGGAAAAGTTCATTTAAAAAAAAGTATTGACAGCATTTCAACATTAAGAAGGCGGATGAGAATTGATTTCTCTCTACTGTGTGATTGTACAAATTAAATAGTGTTGAATTATACCATTTGGGATTGTGAATGTAAATTCACTTGAAATGTATTTAATCTTGCCAAATAGTAAACCACTTTTGGTCGTGGCAAGTACTGACCATGTTGTGTCTGAGGTATCCTTATTAAGCCATTTGGGAACAATACCAAATCTGTCCATGCACAATCAAATAATAAGGCTGAATAATTTTGTTGTTGGATGAATACGTCCTCAGTGAGTCAATTAAAGACAACGCTGTGTTGAAGAGGTAGACCGAAGTAAACAAAGACACGTCGTCTGATCTCCACAACCTCCACCCCCTTTCTCTGCTATTACCATTTAAATGACTTTCATGCCTTATTCACAGGATAAAGGAATAATAGAAAGGCTGTGTGAGATTAGTGTGGTTTCAAAAGGATGCAAAAAGTGTTGTTGCAAAATAAGCTATGAAGAACACAGAAGCATAGTATGGACGGATTAGGGCTTCACAATAATTAAACATTCATTGTGATCACTGCATTTGACAAGTACATTCATGTTATTGTGACAGTGAATTTAACATGCATGCTCTATCTATAGAACACCTGCTGCATGTCAAATCAAGCGCTCCCTAAACTAACAGCCAGCCACCAGGGGGCGCTCGAGATGTTTTGGCTTTACTTTTGGGGATATGCCATGCCTAAGTCTGTACCCTACAGCAGCAGCCAGTGAAACATCCCTAAATGTGGCTACCATCCAGAGTGGAAGGGATACAAACAAAAAAGTTCAAACAGGTGGAAACGTAATTCCCTGAATCATTTTCTTGATGTAAAGATGTGTTCATTAGATAAATGTAGAGCAGTGTGAAATTAAAATCAGGGCTTTGTTTGATAAAAAGGATTTTTACCTGAAAATCAATCAGTAACTTTGGTAAATTAGTGTGATTATCTTCTTGGCAATAAACATTCATTGCTATGGATAAAACCACACAAACATTAAAGAAATACAATTACCTGAGTTGAGGGGAAACTCAGGTAGTTTTATCTGGAAGATGACACTGTGCTGAATGGAGCGGCTGCCCTGCAGAGTTCTGTCCCTGAAACACAGCACCTCCACTGTGTCCAGCTTAGAGCCCCTAAAAACACACAAAAATAAGTGATATGCAAAAGTCAAACAACTGAAAAAGAAAAAAAACACAGCATGCACAAATTAGAAGCTATAGTGTAAACAAGAAATGAGAAAAATCTCACAAAAACAACTTAATAACTGAATATTCTGTTTCCCCTTGCTAATGCAAGAAACAGCACTGATAACTGAGCGCTCACACAAATATGATCAACACAAATCCACACAACACATTTCCCCTAATATGGTACTAAATGACCAGTCACATTACACAATCAGACTGCAGCGGAAAGACTGAATAAGCGAGACTTTGCGGCTACAATATAATTCTTTCTTCACCCACCTCAGCCAGCATCAACAGTTTATGTTTAACACTGACAGAAAAAAGATTGATGAAGTTTGTATTTGATCAAATCTGCAGCTCAATACGGAGCACAAGCGCTTATCTGTATTTGCTGCTGATAAGCTATTGGTATCAAGGCATACTATTGCTAAACTGCTCCCAGTGGGAGTTCTTTGTTTAAATGAAAAAAAAATTATGCAATAAAAATATCACTAACAAAGCAACACAAGTGCCAGGAAAAACCAAACTCCCTAAGGAAAAAAATGATGTACATTTTTAAACTTCATTGAAATGGCAGTCATGAAATGTGAATAGACTGATCATTTATTGTCAACCTCAGATGATGATGCTATATGATCAAGTAATGTAGACATATTTAAGATCAATCTGGAGATATATCTAGTTTGGTCTTGTTTAAGATTAGAAATACATCATAGTTATCACATTGTGACATACTCTTCTGTTGTATATCAATTGGACATTTAAAGAATTAAAAAAAAAAAAAATGTATTTAGTTGGTCCTTTACTTTTTGTCTGTCGGTGTGCATGTCTAACTCTGTAAAGCGCATTAAGATTGTTTTCCACTTATAAACCGGAAAAAATAAATGATGTTAACCCAGGGTTTAGGAAAGAAACATGCTTAATAAAAATAAAGCACAGCACAGCATTTATTGGAAATAGAGGACACTAATATGAGATATAATTGAGTTGTCATAGATGGCAAAAATATCCATCAGAGAAGCCTTGACTTCTAATGGCACTAGAGAAGCAGATATAATGTGTTTTGCAACAACATAAGGAACTGTCTCAAATGATAATATGAGATGTGATGGGCAATAAACCCTTTAAGGAAAGCATTGTGTAAATCAACAATAAATTATATTATGCAAGTAGGCCGGATCATTTGTTACAAACAGAATACCATGTTGGGTATTTTAGATGTCTAAGTGATCCCACCATTGGCGAACAGAACAATTTCAGTTTTACTTTCCTAATATTGCATCCGTGTTTTCAAATAGTTTCTTACAATCTCAGATGCAATTTGACCAATTTTCTATTTTCTTTCATGCAGCCTTTAAACTACAGAATTACCTTGAGAAAACATTGCACAAAATAAACATCTCAATTGCAAAAGTTACAATAAAGTACGATATTAAAATGCCTGCATGACACCAACATTGCATGCCACTTGGTTTAAATCATCTGTGTACACATTTTAAGAAATGCTCAGACATTTCTTTCTTAGATGTATTACTTAACATTTGATCCAAGCACTTGCACTCACTCATCCGTGGTGTGCTCACATTTCTTCTCTGTAAATACTTCAGTAAAAATATATTGCTTTGCAAAGCCCACACAAGCTTCCACATACCACCATCATGTGCACGACCACTTGAGTCTGTAAACAACTGTAGTAATTTATGAGCTGTAACAGAATGCATTCAAATCTGTTACTCCTGTTCACAAAACAAGATGGCTCATGTGTGTTCTGCTGGATTTGTACAAAATGCCCTCTCAGGTTCCTGATACTAGACCACTCCTGCTTTCAAAACAACAGTGGTTCAGACAGAAACATTTATAACAACTTCAGTTGATAGAAACAAATATTTTAGAAAATGTGTAGCATTAAGCGGTTAAATACTTTGTCTGTGAGTATCAGGAGTTTCAAGAATCCCAAAATACATTGCCTTCCCATGCCATGCATATTGCATGCTATGTTTGTGTGTTTCCACTATGAAGCCTACAGTATGGTGTCCATTGACAGCAGCTGCTGTGTGCTACTGTATGTGTTATAGATCGGTCTGGCATGTGTTAACAAGGCAGCCATTTGATCAACTACTTGTTGCAATGATCACAAGCACAAAGCCTTGGTAACGTACATACATGTATGCGCTGTAATGTTCTATGTAGTTGTCCATCTTTGTGTAATATTCTTAATAAATAATGGATAAAATAGTTTTTGTGAAATGTTTAACCTTGACTTTAGACATTTCCTGTTGAAATGTCTAAAGGCAAGGTTAAAATTTTCACAAAAGAATAGTCTGGAAAGAATTACCTTTGTTTTAAAACTATGACTTAGCAACATGTAAGATATTGCACAAAATGGACCATCAGAATCGTACAGCTTTGATTATTCTCATAACTGTGAAACTCTAACAACAACACCGTTAGGAATAATTGTGCCAGTGAAGCTGTTATTTTAGTTTTCTGTAATGATACAAAGCTATGCAAGTATCGCCATTCACTTTGGAAGATCGCATCAACATCTTAAATCAGACCAGCTTCCTACACTTGAGAGTCAGGAAATTAGTTAAGCAGGCATTTCCTGTCTTTCTGTGGCGTTGTGCCTAAATAAAATAGTCGATGTAATCAGAAAAACACTCAGTGAAATTCACAAACTCAGCATGTGTTTATAAAAAAGAAAATCCTTTAGAGAACTTCCTCTTCTTTTAACAGCATAAAAAACACACACACAAGAAGGAAGGGAATTACCATTGGTAAGCTAAGAGGACCAGCAGATTTCTCAAAGGCCAGCCCGGATGTTGAGACAGAGTACACGGATCATAGACGCCCACAGTAACCTAGAAAAAACAAACAAGGTGTGTTTACTTTACCAAATAGGGATTCTGTCTGCGTGTGTGTGAGAGAGAGAGAGAAAGTGAGTATTGTAAAATACAGTCAAATAAAGTACTGTATAAAACAATCCAACAGAGCAGAAATCTTTGAAAGCTGGGAAAAAATGTCCCTATATAAAAAAAATTATACTTTTGCATAAAATATTTATCCACAACACAAAATGAAGTAGTACCTTCTTAGTATCAGTGAAGAACGTGTCCCAGTCACTGAGTGCAGCCATCTGAACCGTGTCTTCTGTGTACTTCATTAGGAAGTAAGGCACTGCAGTGGTCTCTTTTTGGATACACATTGAGTCATAGGCATCCTGCAAGGCTGTGATCTGAGACAGAGCATAAGCAGTCAGCTAAAAGTATAAGATCGGTGCTGTACATGAATTGTTTCCACAGCCATTGTCTTGGAGGGGCGCTGCGCCCCGCCAACGGAGCCCCGCCAACGGAGCCCCGCCAACGGAGCCCCGCGTCCCCCCTGAAATTCAAGGTGTTTACATTTTTTTAATTTTTAATTATATATATATCACCAAATTGCAACTAATCTATATCTACTGTCACTTTTCACATTGAAAATGTGCTCTTAGAGCACATTTTCAATGTGAAAAGTGACAGTAGATATAGATTAGTTGCAATTTGGTGATATATATATATATATATATATATATATATATATATTAAAAATTAAAAAAATG